TTTTTTTTTTTAATGAACCGTTTTTACGCATTTTCATTTGATTTATATTTATAAGTACTACCGGTTTATTTATTTTTCCCTCTCTATTTTATTTTTTTATTAATTGTCTTTAACTTTTTAAATAATTACTATTTAATAACTCTTTTTTCCTTAAATAAATACAAATTAGTTTTCTTTACTATTAAATCTGTTTAATAAAATTTAAAAATAAATTAATTGCATACTGAAAATTGAATTTAAAATTTAATATTTTATTTCGATAATGAAACAGGAATTTGAACTGAGTAATTGACATTATATATTTGCTTACTTTGTGTATTTTATTTCAATATTCATATTAACAATGTAATTCAAAATAAATCTAACAAAACTGGTTTAAAGTCAAAAATTATTACAATACTATTTTCTCGTATAATAGTCCTGTTATTACTTATTTTAATACTTATTTATATTAAACGTAATATCTGATTTGATATAATTATCAATAAAATATTAGAAATAATGTATTCATTTTAAAATTAAGAAATACTTAGGTATACTTACTAACCTAAAATTAGTTTATTAAAAAATAAATATCTTTAGGTAATAATAAACAATAAAATAAAAGAAGTCACATGGATATCCTTAAACTTTTGAATTATACAACTGATTTATAATTTTTTAATTATACATAATAATGCTTTTCCTTTTTAACAAATATAATTTATGGTTGTACATAAATATACAATGCATATTACTCAACAATTATTTCACTATCTGGTTGTATTTTTATATACACAGTATTAAAATATATCATTCACTTGTAATATATTATATATATGCACATTGCACAAATGTGTACAATAAAATATAAATGAATAACACAAAATATAAACATATTTTTATTTATATTCTAATATATTTATTGAAAATTAATAATTTAATAAATGGTAACATAAGAATTACTAATTCGATAGAAAAAAAAAATTAACATATAATATCAAATTATACAGGATCAACCGATAAATAACTTACAGTACAACAGTAGTATAAACGGTTTACACCCATATTTGGTAAGACTAAAAATTGTATCATAAAATTATGAAGTGTTAAATAATATCAATATAAGGTAATGTTTAATTTTTAAAACGGCAGGTGCGAATATATATATATCTCTAATATTAAATCAAATTTCCGCGAAAATACTGTTCGTAATTAGTCTTGGTCTCGGTCTTAGCAAAAGAAAAATATTTAACGTGGGGTAAGCAATAATAAGATGTTTTAATTTACGAACGAAAGCGAAGCGTTATTCGCAATACAATATGTTGGGAGAATGGTCAAGATTAAAAATCAAATATTTGCGATAACGTAATTGTAAACAGTCTTGGTAAATAAATTCTGTTTGATGAAGGAAGAACGAAAATATTATATTACCTATACAATATGTTATTCGTAGGTATAATAATAATATGTATATAAGAGAACGGTTTTGACAATAATATTTATAGCCGCATCGCTGTTGCAGCCTTAGGCCAATGTCTGTTCGCAGAAGGACAATAACACTTTATATTATCGTTAAACGTGATGACGTAACATAGAAAATGTTCGTAACAATAATATCTTAAAATATTATAATATAAATACTACAATAGTTATAAAATGTATATTATAATAAGCATAAAGTAGTGAAAAATGAACGTATATTTCGAAAATGAAACTCAACTGTCCACTGATCGGAGGTCTAATCTTCAAAAAAATCTCAAAAAGTGATCACGCGATCTAAGTCAGGACTCGAGAGATTGACTACAACGGCAGCCATAGCGTTTTTGACCTAAAATAATCGTTTCTATATAGTATAGTGTTACAAGACGACGATGGTCCGATCACGTACGCTTACAATAACCGGTTCAGGTATACTACACTAAATAGGTTATTATTAGAACCATTATAATTATATAATAATGTACTTACTAACACTGTGGTGTTAAATATAAAAATATTATTATTTCAGCGTTAAAGACATGACCGTATATTATCATCTTATTTGGTATTATAAATTATTACAACAATACTGATATATTATTATGCATTTATGCATATCCATTAGATTCGTTTTCAACGAGTAGTAAAACTAATTCAGGTAGGAAATATACCAAGTGCAATTTGCTACTTTATAAAATATGAGATAACTTAGATTAATAATTCGAAGAAGAAAAAACACCATGTCTAATGATAAGATTTGATATTTTTTTTTTTTTTTTAAGTCCAGTTTTTATGAAAAATTTCATAGTAAAATATTATTTAAAAATAACGATCCGTAATATATTAATAACATGTTATTAATGTTGTAACTTATAAATATATTTATTATTTGTATAATTCCAAATAATCAATTAAAATATGCCCAAGTGATATATTCAATATAGATAATATGCTTCATGGTACAAGAGTAAAAACTTTAAAATAAACATTTTAGATTTCAGTTTTTCTGTAACGATTAGATAGTATTAAATTTACAATAATACATTTTTTGGTCAGATATCAACTTAAGGAGCAGAAAAAATATTTTGAACATTGAATGGGGTGGTTAATGGTTAAGTATTGGAATCTATTTAGAGTCAATAATTATTTTTCAACAATATACGTACATAATATATTATGTTTATTTTAAATTGAAGAATTTTTAATTTTTTTTTTCTTTTTGTGTTGCTTAAATTTTTTTTATTTAATTCAAAAAAAAATTGAATAAATAAACGTTTTCTACATAAATGTTAAAATAACAAAAATAAATAAATATATTAGTTAAAAATAATTTTCATAAGCGCTTAAATTTAAAATTTTGACAAAATTGGATATTAAAACAAATAATTAAGACATTTATCGTAAACTATTTTAGTTATCTTTTATTATTCAAAAATTATTAATATTAAAAGATCTCAAAATGTATACTTGTTTCATAATATACTCGTATTATTATTTTTATGCAAAATTAAATTAAAAAAAAATATTGTAATTTTGAGCTATATAAAGTAATACATTCAAAATTAGAAATATAGAGAGTGATACATATTTCCCCTAAATATGGTTTTTGATATGCAAATATGCAATGATTATCATTGAATTCAAATCGAACAAAATATCCATTTGTCATAGTGACTTATCCAGCGTCAACATTTTTACTCAAAATCATCTATATAACAGAACAATTTCACTGTTTTTTTTTTTTTAAATTTTTTTTTTTTAAATTTTTTTTTATCTATTTGTTCATATTTTTTTATAATTATCTAATCATGTACAAAATTGCTATACTTTAGGTATTTAGGGCCGGATTGGCCTGGCGATTTACCGAGTAAAACTAGGTGGGCTACTCAAAATATAGGTCGGTAATGAGTGTTTGGTCGACATTAATTTTTTTCTTTTTTACAATATTAATGATAAATAAGTACAAACATTAGTAGAAAATATAAATGAACTGAATTATAAATCCGTACGGTAGTTGTAGCTGAAATCAACGTTAGAAATCCTAAAACACGGTGAGTCTAAGTCGGTTAGACTGTATCATATAAACATTTTGAAATATATACTTCATTCGTTTTAAATAAAGAAATCAATAAAGAAAAAAAAAACTAAAATTAGTTATAGAACATTTTTATTGTCAAATAACAATTATTATGTAACGATCTACAACCGTATTATGGTGAAACTTACAAGTTTAGGTATGATATTATATTATTTAGATTATTATTACCCACCTGTATTATGATCCCACCGTTTTCACTACTTCAGTACTTCACAATAACTAATATTACAAAAATACTATATAATGCGTTGTTGAATAATAAATAGGTAATAATTATGTTAAAACTGTTATTCTGTTGGTATACGTGAATGAAATTCTTAGAAGTTTATGTACATTTCAAGGCTTTTTCGGACACTATATTATACCTCTGATATATTAGGTTGACCAAATTAAATTTTAAGAAATTCAAGACACCAAATTTATAAATTATTTATAATAAAAATATTAACGGCAAGTTGTATACTGTACATTGAAATCGTCAGTGGGTTTAAATTTTTTTTAACAAATGGTAAATCATTTTTCAATTTCTAATTAAAATGACAGTCTTTTAGGCGATTCAGTCACAACGTTAAAAAAATAAACTAAATAAAATCAAGACACTATATTATAAAGATTTGAATAATTGAATACGTACGAAACAGTTGGTCGACTTCACGTTTGCACACGAGTACACGACACGCTCCGTCGGTAAATAAATGCGTACTGATGTGTGTAAACCAACTAACTATGCGTCACTTTAAATACGTACTAATATAATATTATCGTTCGCACAGTCGAAGTTTTCGAAATTCAAAAATCATAACACTGAGGTTTTTTCCGACTGTAAATGTAGTTGTAGAATCTCAAAGGCTAGATAATATAGTAGGTTGGACGAATTTAGAAAACGATTGTTGCTGCCGTCGTCGTACGTTCTAAGTGTTCCGACTGTTGGTTATCAAAATATTATATCGATACTACTAACCGATATTCACGATTAGAAAAAGGTCTCCGGTTCAAAACGAAACCGATAAATCGGGTAAAGTAAAAGAATATTGTATGAAAATTATTGAAAATACGGTTTTTAAATTTCTGGACGTTACCGCATTAATGTCCAAAACCGGTACAAATCACAGGGCGTTCAGAGAAACTTTGTTCCAGACGCGAATTCCCCTGAACCGGTAACACCCCAAAAAGTTGCCGATGCGGGGTTATAACCGGGTCGTTGTTTGCGGTATCGTCGGTAGTCCGTCGTCCACTTTGCGCGGAATACGATCGTATGACCGAATAACTTAATGTTTCGTCGCTGGTTAGAATATTGCGTACGCGTAATATATAATAATTGATATAAACGCAATATTTGCGTTGTAATTATTTTTATTTATTTCCAATGGTATTTACAACCGATCGTCGTTACACGACGATTATACGCTGATGACCGTTCGCGTTCGTCCGGGAAGGGGTCCGTCCGATCCGCAACCGATCTCACTTTCTCCGGCCGGAAAGTTTTTGTTTTTTTTTTTTTTTCACAACTCCGTCGAGCGCGCTTTGAATACGGCCGTGTAGTGTCATAGTGGTAAACAGACTCTTCGGTGGTAAAGTGCTTCGTGATCGTATTATTATTTTCCATTTATATCGTTATAATATCATATAATATTGTAATACGCGAATAGTCGCGCGTGTATACTGTCCTCAGTCGTTTGAGCCTGCCCAAGCGCCAACAGGATTTATTGCAACACGTGAGTACATGATATGTTTATTAAGTATATTATTTTTAAGTATTTCGATCAAACGATTTGCAAATATCACAAAAAATTGCGTTATGATAACACTATAATTGCAATATTGCACCCGTAACATATCGTCGTCGCACACTAGACTAGCAAACAAACATTTTTTTTTCTTTTTTGTCGATCTAAAGCATAATAATCAATATATGTTTTTTTTCATCTATGAAATCTTGATTGTTACAGATTTTAGTTTTCCGAGCTCTATAGTACTTATAGGATTTCAAACCAAAGATTAGAAAACCTTAAGGCTTAGAGAATAGTTATTCTATACTCTATAGTCTATATATATATATTATATATTATATATTATACTTTGAATAGGACAGTTTTATATTTTAACCATTTAATTATCATAGGCTACCTTTAAGCTACAAGCATAACTGTACTTGGTAAGTTGTACTTTTTTCTCTCGATGCTTTCGAATGTATCGATTATATTGTTTGAATAATGTGTTTATTTTCTATTCATTAAATTATACAATTTTGGATCAATAAAATTTAGTTTTTCAACTTTGAGAAAAGTTTTTATTAAAAAATTGTATTCGATTGGTACTTTAGGGGAAGGTTAGAATGTAAGTACTAAAACTTTTCAAAGAAAAACCAGCATTTTTATCCAAAACCGATTATTATTATAAAACCGTTTTTGCTTCTTTGTTGAACTCATCATATAAATTATTATTTTTTAGAAATTTGAAACATTTCACTAGTAGGTACTCAAATCATTATTTTAGACAAATAATATAATGTATATTAATATTTATAATTATTGATTTTTTTTATTTTTTTATTTTTTTTTTTTTTTATGGATTTAATGTTTATAAAAATGTTTAACCTTTCTCAACAATTTTGCAAATTGAATAAAAAATAATTTTTTTTAACAATTTTAAAATATTTAAAATACATAAACATTATTATTTTTTTTTTTTTTTTTTTTATAAATATATTTGAAGTAAAAATGTTGATATTATGTAGTTAAACATAAATAAAATTTACAATTTTTATAACTTTGGCTTAAAAATGTAAACAATGTTTAAAACTACAATACTATTATATTATATTGTAAAAAAGTGATTTTTGTACAAAATATAAAACGTTTAAAAATAAATATTATATATCATCAGTTTTAAAAAATGTACCTATTAAGAAACTTTACAAAAATAAAATGTAAAATAGAATGTTTGTTGTTATTATAATAAATTCGTCTGTAATAAAAAATAGTGTTGTATTTTTAAAAATCTTATCACGAATTTTGATTTTAAGAAAGTCTCTCAAACATATTTTAGGTTACCATTAATAAGTTGTTTTTGTATTAATTTTTGTTAATGTTTAGTTTTCCAACTATGGGCACTGCGTTTTTAAATTGTAACATAAATAATCTAAAGTTTAATAGTTATTGAAGTTTACCAGCCATTAATAATATTTTACATACTTCCATTAAAGAATTATAAATGTCTTAACAAAAAATAACAATTCTTTTTTTTAAGATCCTTGTTGATTTACACTGAATTTTTTGTATTTATTCTCCTTTATCGAAGTTGGATTAGTTTCATTTAAATTTTTTTTTTACCAGCCATATTACAAAAGTACTTTTTAGAAAATAACGTCCACTGAAGTTATTAATAATTGTTTATTTCTCTTTTCGACCCTTTCTGTAATATTTATTTGAAAGCTATAAAATCAAATTATTATTTTATTATATTTTTCTTGATTTTATCGTGATAGAAAGAAAAAAATAGTGTCGGTGTATCATTGATAGATACTACTAAACTGCAGCGTAAATTTCATTGATAAATTTAATAGATAAAATGTTTTTCGCTTAAGTATTCTATGAAAAGTTTACGTGGTCACGTACAACGCGCGCACACAGAAACACGTCAAAGATAGGAGTGGATCGAAAAAACGATGAAAAGACGGCGGTCGCAGTGGTTTGGACCAATAGTTCGACGTTTGAGACGTTGAATTGTGGGTCTGACCTCTCGTCCAAATAGTTTTATGTATTTTAATTATCTAATTTTCAATACTTATTCTACGATTGACCCCTGCGAACCGTACCTATATCAAAGTTTAAGCTTTCTACGTACGCAAATCCGCTACTTATTGCTTAGACTCATAAAATATTATTTTACGCAGCTATAATGATGATAGTTACTGTGATATTACAACACTATGAATCGTTATATTTTATTCTCGACTGTTATACTAAATCGTATACTTACCAATTTTGCATTTTATTTTATTTGTTTATTTTACATAGGGATGTACTTCAGAGTGAAAATTCTTACCTGTAAAGTACAAAAAAAAAAAAAATGCAATTATTATTGAATAAACACTTAGATATCCTTATTAAATAATGACAGTAATTGATTATTTTATGAGTGGGTGAAACAAAAATGTCATAACAGCTATAATATGATGACGTTATACGATATAAAAGGCAACATTTAATCAGTTGAAATAACACGATAATTATGGATATACAATCATTTGGTACAATATAATATATTCATAAATTCATTAATATTTTAAAACAAGTATAGAAATTAAATTTCAATATTACAATAATTTATGATTTCATTTGAAGGTCAATCTTGAGACAAGGTTGTACACAATAATAGTAACAATTGTAATTTATTTCGATTAATGTAATGTTTTAAAAGTTTTTAACTTATTTTATATGATACAACAATAATTGTATATGCCACTGAGAAAAACTTATTATTTGTGAATAGTGATACAGATATGCTCGCAGATATGTTTCACGTGTATACTCCAATATATTATATTATTATTCATAATTATATGGCACATATATCAATGTTACACTTTAAATACGAATAAAAATAATTGTATAAAATCATAAGTAAATGCCAAGTGAACAATTTACGAATGCTTATTACATTTTAAGTTTATGAGTTTTTCAAATTATTGCGTATACTTTTGTGTACTTTAAATAATTTATTATGCATGAAAATTCAATATAAACTTTATTATGATTAGTTATTTTTCTAATATAAATTAATTAAAAATCTATACTACTAATTTTATTTCATAGTAATCATAGCATAGTATATTTTATAAACGTAATATGTAAATAAATCTCACAAATTATAATAATAATGTAAATGATTATTGTTTTTTTCTGATGCAATTATGTATACCTAATATTTGTCATTTTAATACAACATTAAATATATTGATTATAAGACGAGTTTTTTAGAACATTTATAATATTTTATAAAAGTACTACTTTGCAAGCTTTGCCGGTAATATTGATTTCATAAATGCTAGAATAATGTAAACACAACTGATTTATGCATAACTATTATTGAATTTTATACAACAATTGTAATCAATTTTTATTTATAAATTATAAAGTAAAATAAATTGATTGAAACAAATAGATATGAATTATAATAATATTATATTCATTCAGTTACAATATGTCAACAATTAAAATATAGCTCTTAAGCAAACGCAGTAATAATTTATTACAACAAATTTTATTGGCAATACATTTATACTATATCCCTGTATTCAAGGATTATCCGAAAGTTTATTTTTTAAGGGTTTTGAATAAATTTTCCAACTTCAGACTATTAAATCTGATGACTGATTTTTTTTTTCTTGGTTGTATAATCGATATTTATGTTATCTATTCATAACATAATTTTCTTTGTTTGGACTAATGTTATGATAATGATAAATATATGAAAAATAATGACTCAATAAAATAAAATTATAACCATTTATTTTTAAAAGAAAACAAATCAATAAAAAAATACACGTGGTGAGGTTAAAAAATTGGATACAATGTAAAAGGGGTTAGTTAAATAAAACTTTTATCAAATTTAAAAAAAAAAATATAAAATTATAAACACCATTAAAGTTCAAACAAATTCATAAAAAATACATAACGCATAATATGTGCTTATTCTTAAAAATATACAATTAGATGAAATTTAATATTGTTTCCATATCTATCTTAAGTAAATTTTAAATATCCAATGATATATTAGCATATAACCATGATTCAAAATTAATAATAAGTTTGGTATTTAAGGCATTTTGAATTATTTTTCAAAACTATGTGTTTTTTTGTTTTATTATAAGTTTCTTTTATGAATTATAAAATGTTGACTTAGTAAAATATATTATTAATACATTTATTTTTAATTAACTATTTTTTTTACCTATTTAGGATATTTTACACTTAAAATACGTTAATATAAATACTAAAATACCTTATAAGTTTTAAAAAAATACAATAAAATAACAACAAATGAGTATCAACTATTATTAATTAATTTCATCACTTAAGAAACAAAATAGTAAACTCAGTTGTATGTATAAATAGCTAGTTTTTAAATATGAATTTCAATTTTAACTTTATACAGATTACTGAAAATGAACGATAATGAAGTTAAATTGACTTCAGATAATTATAATATTATAATAACAAGAATCTTATGTGTATGCTGATAATAAGTATATTTAATATTTATATCAGCATATTATGTTATCTGAGTTTAGATTATTTAGACATTTTTATTTATAAAAATAATAAACTTATCAGACTTCACGAAGCTAGATGACCATATGTTTGTATTCAATAAAATGTAACAAACAAATAAGTGTTTATTTATGTGTTATCTGTCTTTAAATAGTTATTTAAAAATATTGGAGATATTATTACGATTTTCGTGTTTAAGTTGAGTATAGTTAAAATATTGTTAAAAATAGATTATTCGTAAATACAAGGATGCAACGTTAAATTCCATTTGCCAATTTTTTAATTAAAACAAAACATTTTATCTAAAAATTGTTTAAAAAAAATACTTTACTTAATCCTATAAAAAAAAAAACAATGGTATTGTTATTTAAAAAAAAAGTAAATTGAATTCCTTATGCGCATACATAAAGGATTAGAAATTAGTAATTAGTCTTTAAATA